GGAGCGTAGCAGATCCTAAATGGAATTCCTTGTTGGCTTTCTATAAAATATTCGTTTGGCCGAGGGCTTCCATATACATTGTAAAAGCTAGTCTCTAAGTCTCGAGCATCAAAAAAATGCCTAGAGGGAGCATCCTATCCTTGAATTCTTGCGGAACTCTATTCTCGATAGAAAATTGTCTATCTAAAGAAAGGAGAAGCAATCTTAACATAACCAGAAGAAGAAGTTCAAGCTAACTTGCTTAGCCCCCAGTCCATACCGACAATTCCACCGTGTAAATTGAGAAACAAAGCAAATAGCATTTCCTATTGATTTGTCTCCTGAACTGGACCTATTCTTTCTAAAAGGAAAGATAACACCCAGGCGAAGTCCACTTGCGTTCAAGGCACCCACCCAACTGATCTTTAGGATGGTTACAAAAATTTCCTTAATTCCACTGTTAACGTAACCTTTGCTTGGCTCTCTCCTATTGATTATGCCTTATCTAATGGAGGAAGAACCATGCTTAGAAATGTGAACATAACCTTCGAAAGGCACTCCAGCCCTTATGGATGGATAGAACTATTCTTTCTTTGTGGTTACGATAAGCAAGCCCGAGGACAGTCTTGATTTTGATTCATAGCTGCCCTATTGTTCAAAATGAGCTAGCCAAGCTCACCTGCTAAATGCAAATGATACGAAGAGCTAGCTTGGCTACCTTGGCTCAGAGAAAAGTCTAATGCCTTCGGTGAAAGAAGCCTCTTCCTTATTGTGTCTTTATTAATGGAATATCCATCTAAAGAGAATCAAGCCAGGCATACTTCCGTCAACTCTCTCATTCACAGAACTATCGAGGTGCCATATAATAGCTTCACTTGCGATTCTCCCTATTCTATTGCCCAGTTGTCGATCACTTACAACAAGTGTGCCATTTCCCACTACAGCTATTCTAGACATCCGCTTAGGCGTGAGTAAGAGACCCTCTATAGGAAAGATTCCTAAATAAACTCTTTCGGCTTCGGCACGTAAGGTGCTAAAAATAAGACCCATTAATGCCTCCTAAGCCCGCTTTTTTCGAGTCTGAAACCCTTTGACCTTCCTCATTTCTTTCTTTGGTGATAAGTTTAGTCAAGTCCCATCACACTCAAGGAGACGCAATATAGTAGCTTCGGTTGTTGAATCTCGTACAAGTTAGGTTGTGGTTGTATTGGCTGCAAGCGGAATGTAGGCGCTTTAGGAGTATAACACAAGCTGTCAACACAAGGAGTCCGGCCTTTGGCCAATGCGAAATGAAAACCAATGCAACGCAAGAACCCGATTATCTAAGACGCGGGGTTGCTCTTTCATGTCTACAACTCAATTTATCTGATTTTTACAGGGATGAACCCAATCAAGAATATGAACCATATAAGAAATACCTATTAAACCAATCACAAGAATACCAGTTACAGTACCTATCATTCCCGGCTGCCTGCCTCCTTGTGTGGAAATACTTTTAATGATCTCTAGCTCTTTCCCACCTGCTCGTTCAAGTTGATTAGAAAGGCGAAAAAGGGAATTCTTTATACAGTTACAGTCTAGGAAGGGTTAGGTCAATTGCGTTTTATTGAGAAAATTTCTTGCAACCATTACTCTCGAAGAGTTCATCAAAGAGCTAAGGGATGAGAGGAGGTGGAATTTCTTTCAATTACCACTCGTGGAACCTCAATATTCACGGGCTTATTAGCTGAATGGCAGTTGGCACATTAATACAAACCAAAAAAAAAGAAAAAAAAGAAAAAAAAAAGAAAATGAAAAAGAAAAAAGTAAGTCCCTTTTTGTTCGTTGAAGTAACTGAGTCAATTAACTAGAAATAAAAGAGGTAATTGAAAAATAATGTTAGAAAATATTCTTCTTCATTTTTTTTTTTTTTACTTTTCTTTACTTCTCTCTCTTAACAAAATCAAATTACACTCTTATGTAAAGAAAGAAAATACAATACATAATCCCAGGCTCACAATACCAGGCCCAAAATACTAAGGCAGAGTCCAAATTGAAAGTCAAATACCCATTTCTGCCTCACTGCCCAACTTTGTGCCTGAGATCTCTGGGGAGTCGAGCTTTAGAAAAGGTGGCGACTGCTACAATGGCCGGCGGTTGGACCAACAACAGAGAAATTGGCTGGCCATTTCTGTCCTTTGGTGAAGGTTGTATGGATTTTTTGGGCCGACTTGGATTTTGATTGCTGTGGGTTGGAGCTGAATTGTAGCCGAGGTGGCTGCAAACAGGGAGTGATGTTGTTGTGGCTTTGTATGCTAATTTTTGGTGGGTATTTGTAGCTTGGAGGTGGGCTCGATTTTTTTCTTTGGGTTGTGGTTTATTGGGTGTGTGTGTTGTCGGTGATGAAGGTAGTGGAGCTGGTGTGGTAGGCTGGAATCTGGTTTGGTTATTGTTTGCCACCCTGTATATTGATTGGTGTGATGAAGTATCTTAGTGGTTTGGTTGGGAATTAATTTTCTGGTTAATATTTTAGTGTGGTGTCTGGTGGTATACATTGGGGTTAGGCTTTGTCGATTTGTGCGTCAATGAAAATGATTTTGAGATTTGCAACAGCGGGTTATGGGCGTATGTAGAAGGTGCTGGGAATTGTTGTTGGCTTTTTCTGCTAATTTTAGGAAGATGACAGTTAGGTTTTGCAGTTCTCTTGATGAAGGAAACCAGGTTTGCTCTGATATTACTTTGTTGTGGGATCAAAAGATTGAACAAGCGATAACTACGGCAAGAAGAAACCAGAAGAAGAGAAGAAGACGGTTAAGAAGGAGGGAGAAGAGAGAGAGAGAGAGAGAGAGGGTAACAGGGGAGAAAGGAGAGGGAGAACATGACCAACAAACCAAGCGTAATCTAATTTATCAATCAACTGTTTTGCAATTTCAATTACAATCGTATAAATAACAAAACACAAACCTAGCAGTCAAGGAACTTGGGCTAAACCCATATATAAGTCCAATAAAACATAAAGCATAAATAAATGGCCCAACAAAGGGCTTGGGCCAAACCTGTGACTACCTGAGTTCTAAAGTTCGAATGCCACTAAAATTGTATCTTGGACATTATATACTTTCAAAAGCTTTAAATTTATTTAAATAATATTCTGAAATAGTAAGAGTAAATATATAACTTAAAAGAATTTGACATCAACATGAAAGAAAATACTAGAAGTTTTAGCAGTCTTAATATCAAACCAATAATTAAATAAGTTCTTAAATAAACAAAAGTAAGCCTGGTGGGTCTCTTTCACTAGCCCTCTCATGCCTTGGTTGACACAAACTATTAGTTTCCTGAAAGTGGTATAAAGAGGGGGGTGAGATAAAATCTTAATAAGCATATAAGTACATAGATTAATATTGTACGGAATTTAAGAAACTTTATACATACATAGTGAGACACAAAAATCTATAACGAATATAGTTGGTATGAAATTTTCATGTGTAGTGCTATTATATTCTGGTCCAAACTTAGAACATTCATAAAGGATCTCATAATCAAAGTTCTAAAATTCTAATGTACGTTTAAAATTCGATAAAATATGTGTACTCTTAGCTATATCTTGCGAAAGTCATGAGAGAAATACTGGAATATATTTGAGACTTCAACCCTTGACCCATGTACTAATGAATATATTATATTTGTATTCGTGTATTTCACGGAGAAATGATTGCACTTGAAAAGGGAACATATGATACCTATTTATAGGGGCCACCATGATTCGAGAGTTTTAATTCAATTGAACTTTGGATTTTAAAAGTGATAAAATTTCATCATTATCTTAGCCATTTATCGGTTAATGGGATAAGATAATGAATTTAAAATAAAAAACATTGTCTCCATAATTTCTAAAATTAAATGAAGTATTATCTTTATAATTTAATATTTCAATTTTAATTGTAAGAGATAACATTGAACATTATCTCAATTATCTTTTAACATTAAATAAAATATAGACAAAATTAAATTATTATCTTAATAGGAATTTGATTTTATTTCAATCATTTAAAATTTCAATCTAATTAAAAGAGATAAAATTAGAAACCATTATCTCCATTATTTAATTAAAATTAAATAAGATTCTGATCACTTGGGCTTAAGCCCAAAAGGAAAAAGAAAACGAAAAGGCGTGGACTATAATTTCACATAGTGGACTTTCATGTAATTGATTGGGCTAAAATATTAATCGTATCTATTTTTTATTTTTTTTTAATAATGGGCCAAACTTAAATGAATAAAATTAGGCCATAGGTACAGGTATTACAAAACCTATATACAAGCCCCAATAAAACATAAAGCATAAATAAATGACCCAAGAATGGATGTTAGCCTTAAGTTCTCTAATAACATGGCTTGTATTTCTTCTCTACAACTTAGTTGATGCTGAGGATATGGTGATGCACTCTGCTAGTTCCCTGGATTGTAGAAAACCTACCCATTTATATTGGAGGGAATTTAGTTACCTGGAGCTCCAGAAAACAAAAATCAGTGGCATGTTCTAGTACAGAATCTTCGAATACAAGGCATTGACACAGTCTGGTACTAATTTGACTGGGTTGAGATTGATTTGAGGCATTGGCACAGTGCTACTAATTTGACTGGGGTGAGAACAATTTGAATGAACTGGGATTTCCTGTTGAGGACAAATCAAACCTGGTGTGACAATGCTGGTTCTACACTACTTGCCTCAACCATGTCTGTAATGCTATTGATGTGCACTGTATCGGGGATAAAGTCATCGTCAATGAATTAGAAATTCAATGCATTCCTAGTGAAGAACAAGTTTCTGAATTTCTTTTCTGAATATGTTGACTCATAATAAGGACTTCTAAGGTGTTGGCAGTAAAAATAAATGAAGAAAGTGTGTGGGCTATCTTATGCTTGAATCTCTCTATACTTCATTGCATGTTTGATGGTTTGACGCGATTTCTATATATATTTTTTCATGTTGTAACTGAATAAATTTACACCATAATTACCAAACAATGCTTCAACAGGGATATATATTGACTTCTGAAATTGATGGGACCATTCAAATGAAGAGTTATCTGACTGGAAATCCCGAAATTAGATTAGCTCTTAATGATGACCTGAGCATTGGAAGAGGTGGGAGATCTATTTATGGTATTCTCTTGGTCACTCTATCTGCAATATAATAATCATTTTCCCTTTGATAATTTGCTATGTTAAACTAGTCAGACTTTTGAACTCTATAATGAATATGATTACTTGACAATCCTTAAAAACATTTCAAAACTTGTGATGCACAGTTGTACAGAAGTTGTGAATAACCAATTAATTAAAACTTACTTTTGTTCAGATCATAGTGGTTCTTCTGGATCAGGATCAGTAATCTTGGATGACTGCAATTTCCATGAATCTGTACATCTTGATAGCTTTGATGTTGACAGAACTTTGACTCTGGTGAGTCATGATGCTAAAAAGCTTCTGATCCATTAAATTAATCTTCTGAAATTCTTCCCTCTTTAAATGTTGTTACTTTCTCTTGCTTTTCTGCTTGTTAGGTGCCATCAGATGGCGAGTTTCCAGTCATGAATTATCGTATTACTCAGGAATTCAAACCTCCTTTCCGTATTAACAGCTTAATTGAAGAAGCTGGACCGCTTAAGGTAGATCATGCTTATTGTTCTGTATCAATGTATTTTTGGAATTTAAAAATTTTTTGTGAGAATTTATGTTTTGGATTGAATCGTGAGAATGCATATATTTACTTGAATTCCAGTAAATTTTGCCATACAATTTTTGTTTTCTTGTATCCAAATGTTAGTAGCAACCATATTGGTTTTATCATCAAGAAGTAATAAATACTAAAAGAAGCACACCATTAGCTACTCCTTGATTTTCTTTGTTCCTGCTATTTTAGGCAGAAGTCATTCTAAAAATTTATGCCGAGTTTCCTTCAAGCATCACTGCTAATACAATTGTAGTAGAGATGCCACTACCAACATACACAACCAGGTAAATTTTAATTCAGTCCATTTTAACAGTATTGTCATAAAGTTTGTTTATTCTTTCAGGCATTTTATGACTTACTTTTCATAGTTTTTAACTAGATATTCAATTCTTTTTAAATTCTAATTTAGAATTAAAGTTTTATCCAAAAAGTTATTCAATATATATAAACCATGACCAAAAAAAAGCTAAGCCTAATTCCCATTTGGGGTCGGCTACTTGCATTCATCTTCGCCATTCCATTGATTGCTAGTCTATTGGAAGATCTAGAGTGACTATATTCTTAGCAACCACCATAGGCCAAGTTAACTTTGGTCCGCCCCTTCCCTTTCTAACTTGCTTTACCAAAATCACGTCACTTGTGTATTGAGGTAACACTGCCAAATACTTAAAGGGTAGGTTTGAGTTGAGACGAGAAGTTGGAAAGTGTTTTGGAAATCTTTGTATAGGTGAGTTGGAGGAGAGAGTTCGGCTAGGCATATGGTTGATGAGGTATGTATTTGTTAAAATTGCATCTGCCCAGAATATTTTTGGCATGTTTGCAGTAAACAGTAAGGTCTTGTTTGACCCACATTCTTGCAAAAAAATATATTTTTAAACAACGATTTGACATTATTTCAACCACATCCTACAATAAAATAATATTACACACAAATTTAGAACTTTTCTTTATTTTTAACCATACATTTTTACCTATTTAAAAATGCATTCTTATAAAAATAATGTGGCTCAAACAAAGGCTAAGGCATGAGCAACTTCGAGTAGATATCTATTTTTTCGTTTAGTAATCCTATTTTCTTGGCGAGTGTTGTTGACACGTGAACTTTGGTGGACTATTCCATGTTTCTTTAGGTAGTCTTGCAAAGTGGTATTGAAGTATTCTGTGCCATTATTAGTGCGCAGAATTTGAATTTGTGTTTAGAATTGAGTTTGAATCATAGAGTGAAAATTTATAAATAATGAGCAAACATCGGTTTTTTCTTTTAGTAGGTATAGTCAACATACCTGAGTGTGATTATTGATAAAGTTGACGAACCATTTTGTGTAGGTACTATTAGGGTTGCGGGAAAGTCCCTAGAGATCACTGTGAATCTTGGCAAAATGGTGTAGATGGTTTCTATGTGGAATTTGGAAAGGATCTACGTTGATGTTTTACAAATTTGCAGCTCACAATGAAACTCAATTGAAGTTTTATTCAAGAATTTTGAAGGAAGTACACGTTTCAAGTATGGAAAACTAGGATGACCTATTCTATAGTGCTATAACAAAATTTCACATCCCTAGAGATAGTTGTTGAATTACAACTAATAAGTTGACCAAGTTTACTCACATCATCTTCCTTGAAGTAGTACAGTCCCCCAAACTCTTTTGTACTGCTAATCGTCTTCTCCGATGAAAAGCCTTGAAAGACACAAGAAATTTGCAGAGCATTGGAATTTTTCATTAGTTGACTAATAGATAGTAGGTTATAGGACAAACTTAGGATGTGAAGGACAAAGTCAAGTGTTATGGAATTTAAGATTCGAATACTCCCTTTTCCTACAATAGAAGAGAGTGAGTCATCATCTTAACATCCTCGACACAAGTTGAATATAAAGAGAATAATTGGTACGAATCCGTCATGTGATTGGATGCACGAAAATCAATAACCTAAGAGGTTTTATATTGTGAAGTGCTTAATACTCTCATAACTTTTTGAGCTAGAGAACTAGGACCTTTAGGAGAAAGCTGACCGGATGCTTGAAGGCTAGAGAATATTTGATAGAGTTGCTACATTTGTTCGGAATTGAATGTACCATTTGAAGTAGAATTTAAGCTTGGTATCCCTGGTTTTGAGTATTTTATGTTGGTTTTAGTCGGTGGGTTTCCCATGAATTTCCTAACATGTGCCTCGACCTGCGACAATGCTCACACTAAGGTTGTCCTCGCTGTTTTGGAGTTAACCCATTTGTAGCCCCTTTTAAAGAAAGGCCCAATACACCATTCTCACTTGAATTTTGAGAACCTGGTTCCTAGCCCATTGATTTTTAAAAATTGGTTCTAGGCCTAATTGATTTATAATGTTTAAGAGGCCCATTACTTGTATTAAGGGCCGATATTCCTTCAGAAGGTCTAGTTGTCTCCTTCATCATCACCAACCTCCACAAATACTTCACGAGTTGTCGCTGTGGTTGACCTAAAATTATGCCTTTGATATCGTCTAATTCACGATTCAACCCTGTAAGAAACTCATAAAACCTTTTGTTCTCATGCTTCTTTTTGTATAGAGAGCAATCATCCAGGTACCTCCACTCCTCAAACATTGAGGTCTAATGCTTGCTAAAGAGCCACTATCTCCATGTAATAGTTCGTTACATCTCTGGGTTCCTGCCGGGTTTGTCACAGTCGAGTCTTTCAAAGATGTGCCTTGAATCTTTAGAATGTTGTAGGTGTCTTTTATTAGCGTCCTAGACGTCCTTTGCAGTCGAGAGGAATAGATATGTATTCCTAATCGCAGGTTTAATGGAATTCACCAACCAGGCAGTCACCATAGGATTTTCGGACTTCCATTTCTGCAAAAGGGTAGCATCGGTTGGCCTTTTAGTCTTCCTGGTAACGTAACCGAGTTTCCCTTTTCCGTCAATTTCTAGTTTTATGGATTGGGCTCATTTGTGGAAGTTCCTTCTATTCAATTTCTCCACCATGAGTTGGAAGGAAGAGTTTTCAAGTCCATAGGAGCCAGTTGAATTACTAGCCTCTGTTTCGAAACTGGATGTTTCAGAGGTCGTCGACTCTTTGTTGTTGGCGAGGAATTCTGCCATTGATTTGCTAGGTTAGAGAAACCTAGGCTTCGATCCCATAAAGATGAAATTGGAACAAATTTTTGTAGTGATTGATTATTACCATGGCCTTGCTATATCCTATTTATATTATACGAGATGGCTAAGAAAAGGAAAAATAAATCTGCTAACAAAGGAAACAATTTAACCTACCAACGTAAAATCACAATCATTAATTGAATACAATTCCCATTCTTAACTCTTTTCCATATACGATTTCCTACACAGGACCTATCATCTAGAAAGACAATTGGTAACGGTAAGGTATGTGGGACTTTACTAGTTTGAGGAGACAAATATGAGTAAACATCAATTTGCTAGTTGCGATTCTACCATTGTTCCTAGGGATATTAAAATTTTGTTCTAACATTATAGAATGTATCATTCCAACTTTCAATTTTTAGGACGTCTATTTCCTTCCATGTTTTTGAATAAAATTTCCATCGACCTTCGATGTGAAATTTGTAAACTTGCGAAACATCAACGTTCTTCATTCTCAAAATCCATGCACAAACCATCTAAACTATTCAATATGATCCACAATTATTTGTGGGATCTTTTACGAATTCTTAATCGTACCGACATAAATGGTTAGCGCTGGCAATGGGCCGAGTCAAGCCAGCTTGGCCTTTAAACACAAGAGCTCGGCTCGTGTTCGTCACGAGCTCGTGGCTCATCAGTAACGAGCCATGAGTCGAGCATAAGCTTAGCTTTTTACTTGAGGGGCGAGCTCGGCTCGCGAGCTAGTCGATTTCCATTTTTTTAAAATTTAAATGAATAAAAACAAAATACAATTATACAAATTCTCTTCCTTTATCCGAACTTGGGATCGGCCACTTAAATTTTTAGTAGGCAGAGTTAAAAATTGTACATAAGCAGCTTGTAGGTTGTAACGTGTACAATTTTTAAAAAAAAATTAGAAACAGTATTATAAAATAACAAATTCTGATTAATATGATTAAAATTGCATTAAATATCACTTATGACTTACCTAACGACATGTAATTTCGACAAATTAAAATTTATTTTGTAGTCGAAAATGAGCGTCTTGTCAATCTTTCACGCACGTTAATAATGCTTCCAAAATACTTGTTGCCAATTTATGTGGGTTGTGACATAAGATAAATTGGAAACTGAAAAATGTATTAGAGCTGAATCTATGTGGCATACAATAAATTGGAATAGTAAGGAAATTGTAATTGTGCAAAGTAGAAGAAGGGAAGAACCAATAATTTGAAGATGAAAATAGGTGAGCCTTGTGGGGGTATTTAGAGGCAAATGTTTTGAGGGAAAAAATTGTGGCCCATATTTATAGGCAAATGTTTTGAGGAAAAAATTTGTCTCTCGAGCTCGTGGGCTCGCGGATGAGGGGCTTGCCAATTCCGGGCGCTGCTCTAGCTCGGGCTTGGGCTTGTGATTTGATGAGCCTTAGCCGCCCACGAGCCCATTCTTGACAAGCCAGGCGATCGAGCCGACGAGTCGTTCGGCCCGTTTGACATCCCTATAAATGGTTTGTTCCATTTATTGATCATACCCAACTTTTTTGAGTTATCTGCTAAAAGTAAAAACGGATTTCCATTTTATGTTTATCAATTTTCATTTGATGGTTCAAACACAATTTCAGGCACAAATTCAAATTTCGCACTCATTGATGAATAAAAATAATTCAATAATTATTTGGAAGACTACTTTTAGAAGAATGGAATAATTTACCAGATGTTGACATTTCCAAATAAAATGAGATTTCCAAACGAATATACATAAACCTTTTTGAAGTTGCTCGTAATGTTCATTATAAATCTATCTAAATTACTTTGGAAAGATGCTATTTTAACATTGATCAACCTCATAAACAGAATGCCTAGTCATACACTCTTGTTCGAATCCCCTTTCGAAAGATTTTAGAAAATTTTCCTTAATTCCAGTCTCAGCTCTAACCTCTCCAAATGTTTGGGTATATGGCCTTTCTTCATTTATGTTCACATCATCGAAGTAAACTAGATCCTCATACACTTAAATGTGTTCTCATTGGCTCCACTCAGTGGATGTATGGCCTTTGTCTTCATACATTCCTATAATCGTAGTAAACTAGGTCCCCAAGCACTTAAATGTGTTCTTATTGGATACTCGCTTAGTCAAAAGGGATAGAAATGCTATGATTCGACCACAAAAATATATTGTTAGCTT